TTCATCTCCATCACCGTGCCCTTAGATCCCATCCTCGTCGCCATGTCTCGGACGGCCAGAGCCGACTCGAGGTGATTTAGAAATTGCTCGTTTGTTAGGGCGGGCTGGTGAATGGAGAAGCAGACAAGGTTTAATGGTTGCAAAAACTTTTACTTACGCCGCTTGTAGTTGCGACGCAGATGGTCCGGTCGTCTGAACAACTATGTGAGTTGTTCCAGCTGGCGAGGCCCAAGCCAGTTAATCCGTCCGCAATTTAAGCCGGCAGGAAAAGGGTACGTCTGGGATTGCGCTCGGCGACGGGAAGAAGGATCGATAGGTGATCAGTCTATCGATCAGCTAGCCGCAAGTCAGATCTCTTTAGAGGCACTCTGCAGCGTGCTCAAAGTTCTTCGACTTGGGCGGAAGTCGCATGAAATTTTAAATGGCTAGCAAGCCAATTACTGGCCGCCACGTAGGAATAATTTAGAACTAGCCAATAGCGGGACACAAAATTGCATTCGAATAGCGGGAACTCTTTGCACCATGCATTTCTGTGCTGCAAAGAAGAAATGCACCCTGCAAATTGGCGGGAACTCTCTTGCACCGAGGTTCTTCTGTGCAGCAAAAACCCTCGCTGTGCAAAAGGCTCTCACGTGGCAAGAAAATTCCATCGTGCCGAGGCACCAAAATCACTGGGTTGTGACAATGACTAAAAAAGTTTGAAACCCACTGAGATCTGGTCTATTTTCCAGGTAGCTACTATGTAAATGTAAACAACATTTTCTAACATGAAAAAGAACTTAACTATATAGCTGAAACACCTCTCTAAGAATAGCAGGAATACAAAAATATAATTCTAATAACATTTTTAAGATGCATCTAAAACTATGCTTTTGTTATATATGTAGTATATAAAGATTACAGAATGGTGTGATGTGATATAACAATTCTATCAAGAATGCATGTGCACGATCTGTGCAACTCATTTACAGTTGTCTTGTGGAAAAAACAGGCCATTTCATAATCATACTAGTAAAACCATGCACTCATGAATTCCCAATTTTAGTTATATGTTACATAAAACAAAACAGAATAAAAAACCCTGACATTTAAAAGATGTTGAGATTGCAAAGGCAAGCACTCTAGAATTAGGAAATGGCAGACTTAAGGTTTCCTTTGATTGCAACCTTAATGTTCTTTTACTGCAGATTTTTTTTCCATGTAATCTCCTATTTAGTTAAAAAAAGCAATTAAACAGATAAAACAGTAATTCTATGATTTGGAAATATACTTACCCCTTACACAGGCCTGTAGTTCAAATGAACCTTCAGGTCTCTAGCACAAACCATTGGTGGTAAAACTCTTGAAATGGAATTCAAGATTCATGCACTGTATGCTCTTTATACCTAGAGCAAACACTGTTCTCTTGAAAAAACATCATCTAATTCAAAAGTTATCCTGCTTTACATGGGACCAGCAAACTTGCTATCACCAAATATTGTGTTTTATTCAATAGCTCTGATCTCAAGATCAGAAATATTTTTTTTTCAACCCTGATCTCTAAAAATCAGATTTTAACACATATAACTGCCAAAATTTAAAAAAACCAAAACAAAACAGACAAACAAATAAAATTTCATTTAAAGTGATTCAGTTCATCAAAAATGACAAATACCTTATCATTAAACAGTAAACGCCCAAATAATTGTTTGGCTTCTTCTAGGCTTCCTTCTAGGTAAACAGCACCTATATGGGACACACAGTACAAAACAGGAAAGAAAAAGGTTATATATATAGAAATACAAAGATATTTCAAATTCCTGACCTCCTGTCTTGATGACTGATTTTTTAAAATGACAATTTTCCATTTTACTGCTAATAATTAAAATAAAAAATGAACTTTTCTAAGAGAAATAAAGAATATAATTTCTGACAATATTGACAGTGTAAAACAGGTAAAAAGAGAGCAATAATTTTTAGAATCCCACAGATGTAAATCAGGAATG